GATATATATTATTATTATTATTATTATTTTTTTTTCACCCCACCGGGCAAGTGGTTCTAGGCCACTCTGGTAGCCTAGCTTTTTAAACGATATGCTTTTATGGGAGGCATTTTAGTGAGTGAAGGGGTATCATTTTGACTCTAGCTGGTGTTGCTTGAACAACGGTGCGGCTTCTCAGGGATAGACTGGACCTTCAATAACTCACAACAAGGTTGCACTTGAACTTGGGGTGTTTACCCCTGACCATAAATTTGGCATACCAATCGCCAGAAATGACGAACCCAGGACGTAGGACCTCGCCCCCAGAGTGATCCATCAGGAACATAGGCCGTACCTGTTCCCCCAAACTTGGCGAACGTGGAGGCATGAGGTGAAGCAGAGAGCACAAAAGCTGAAAACAGAAAGGGTATCTGTTTGAAGGGCTTCTTACTTGCTTGCAAGTCCTCCAATGCCTCTGTACCTGGACGTGTCGATGGCCAAGTGCATGACATGCACCTTACACGTGTTTGTCAAGGTTGATTCTTACTGCTATATTAAACCCCCCTTCCGTTGGTTTTCCCCAAGGAGAAACGGACCTCCGGCCTCCTTTTGTGCACAACGTGGTTAGAATTCAGAAGCCAGTGCATATCTCTAAGCAACTGATTGTTATGAAAGGGCATTAGAGATTAACTATGGCCATCCACCCATAAATTTACTGATGTGCCCACCCATACATTTGTCAATGCGTCCATCCACCCATCCGCCTATCTGCTCATCCACCCATCTGCCTATCTGCTAATCCACCCATCCACCCATCCACCTATCTGCTCATCCACCCATCCACCCATCCGCCTATCTGCTCATCCACCCATCCACCCATCCACCCATCCATCCATCCAACAATTTGCACAGCCATCCATCTGCCGACCCGCACATCCACACATCAGCACATCTGCTCGTCCACCCGTCCGTCCACCCATCTGTTCATCCACCCATCTGCCCATTCGCCCATCTAGCAATCCACCCATCCGCCCATCTGTCCATTCATCCATCTGCAAAATCTGCCCAGCTGCCTATCCACCCATCCATTCATCCACCTAGCTGCCCATCCCTCCTCATCCACCGTGACCCATCTTCCCATCTGCCCATCCACTCATTCACCCATTCACCCATTCACCCATTCACCCATTCACCCATTCACCCATTCACCCATCTGCTCATCTGCTCATCTGCCCATCAGCCCATCAGCCCATCCACCCATCCACCCATCCACCTATCCATTCATCAGGTCATCTGCCCATCCATATTCATTTCTCCAATCTGCTAATCCTAATAGCTGGCCATTCGCCCATTCGCCCATCCACCCATCCACCCATCCACCCATCCACCCATCCACACAACCCTTATATGGTCAGGTGGCCTATGTATCTGTTCATTTACCTATTGACCTTCCGTACATTTGCCTACGCTCTTGCTCATCGCCTTTTGAATGCATGCGAAAAAATTGGTCGCTTCGCTCCCTCTCCCCCCTTCCCGCCTTCCCCCCTCCCCCCCCCACGCTCCAGTACATCTGCTGCTTACCTGCCTGTCTGCTTGCCTAGTCACTGCCTCCTCATCTGCCAACCAGCCTCCGTCTCAGCGGCTGCCTGCTCATGAGCTTGCCCATCCACCCACATGTGTCATCTGTTCATTCATTCGTTTCTCCCATTTCCCCATCAACCCTGTCTTGTCCTCCCTCCCTTCACCATTGCATCGATCCATCCATCCATCCCCACCTGTCCACCTATCCATCCATCCGTCGGCCTATTCACCCATCCATCCATTCACCTATCCACCTATCGACCTATTCACCTACCTATCAAATTATCAATCCATCCATTCACCTATCCCCCTATCGACCTATTCATCCATCCGTCGACCTATTCATCCATCCATTGACCTATTCATCCATCCATTGACCTATTCACCGACCTACCCACCTTTCGACCTATTCACCTACGTATCGACCTATTCACCTACCTATCAAATTATCAATCCATCCATTCACCTATCTACCTATCAACCCATCCATTCACCTATCCACCTATCAACCTGTTCATCCATCCATTGACCTACTCACCTACCTACCCACCTTTCGACCTATTCACCTACCTATCCACCTATCGACCTATTCATCCATCCATCGACCTATTCACCTACCTGTCCATCCATCCACTTCATGCAGCCAAACCGTGTCAAACACACAAGGTACCAAATGCAAGAAACCTACCAAGGGAGCCCAACAAGAGCCACCCATATAGGGCCCGATTGCAACCAACAAAAGGCAACCAAATGGACGAGAAGCAGCCAAATAGTCCAAAGGTCCAAAGGATCCAAATTGAACCCACCTCCCAACCACAATGACTGAAATGAAGCCAACACCGTCAAAACAATCGAAGCGGACCGATCGGAACCGATCATTTGGAACCTTCCGGGACCATCTGTAACCTTCTGGAACCATCTGGAACCATCTGGAACCACATCTGGAACCATCTGGAACCTTCTAGAACCTTCTGGAACCATCTCCTGGGAATTAAATAACCACCCTACATGCAGCCGCACTGTAGCACAAATGAAACCAACCATGGGGGCGAATGAACTGACCAGCCAGAAGCCGATGATGCAAAACTGGAACCAACCCCCTGCAGTCAAATGAACCAATCCCATAGCACACGGTACCATAAATGAAACCAGGCGTACACTAAAGGCCACTTTGTAGCGCATGTGGTGAATCCGACGGGTCCTCGGGCAGTTCTCATGTCAGGGTGCTGCTACTTTCTCACCTGTGGGCCCCTCCCCCCTCCCCCCTCCCCCCCCAACACTTTCAAGGTTTAGTTTGCCTGTGTCGGATCTTGAGGACGACAAACCCTCCCTCGTAATATTCCGAGCTTTGAATGGTTGAATTATGCATGCCGTAAGTCGCATCGTCCGGCAGGCTGCAACCGGCTGTGCTTGTCAATCCCCCCTCACCGTCGCAACTCCACCCTTCCTCCTCACACATGTTGCAACCCCTGCCCTCAGAGTCCAAAACAGGGGTCACCTGAACCTGCAGAGACAAGTTCCAACAGAGACATGGACAAAAAATGATCACAATTGCGTGCGATTCAGTGCAAGACAATTAAGACGGGGTGGAGTCCCCTGGAAGAGCTCAACCCTAAGCTACAGCCCGGCACTTGGGGCGCTATTGGATACTGCAGTACAGTTGAAATGGGCGGGCGGACACAGTTTCCGAAAAGTAAGAGGGGAAAGAGAGGAAAGAACGGATCATGAAGGAAGGGAGCAAGCAGGGAAGCAGGACGGGTAATGGCCCCGGCCCCGGTATTTGTCACCACAATTGACGTATCTTGGGAGTCGGGACGCTGGACCTGGTTTCCAGCAGGTGTACCTGGCCGGACTACTAGGAGGGGGTTGCTCATATCACCCACCTACCTTCTTCTTCCGAATACAACGTACGTCGTACGGTCATTATAGCTGTATCTAGACAGAAAGATGCCTCAAATACAGCTATAATGACCGTATATTGTATTCGGGGGAAGAAGGCAGTGGGAAGACAGGAAGGCAGACAGGAAGGACCGGCGGGAAAAAAAGGGATGAAGCGAGGAAGGGAGGTAGGGAGGAGGGGATGGGAAAGGCAGGGAGGTAGGGAGAGACAGGAGGGGGGGAGGAAGGGAGGGTGAGGAGGGAGGGGAAGGGATGCTGTCTCTTATACACATCTAGATGTGTATAAG